GGAATTGTATTAAGTCCCGCTCAGAAGGTCTGTGTGTTAGAAGCAACATGGAATGAATACACTTTACATATTTGTAATGAGGTGATCTTGTGTAATTATGGAAGTCAATGTATTTGTATGGGGATATGCAAATCTAAAGAGCAACAGCGCTGACAGTTCCGTACTATAAACGGCTGCAACGTGGACCAATTGTAATGTTCAACCTTCCAAGCCCAGTCGTCATAGGGAATGTGGGCATTTCCATCTTAGCCCAGATCCTCATGGGACCTACCTGAAATTGGTGTTGTGCTCCTTCCAGTTATATTCATAAGTGATCAGTCTATTCCAATTCAAATGTTATTATCATAATATCTGTTATATCACTTCTACTATCATGCATGTTTTTATTTCTGCAAATTTTGTTTCAGAATGTTTTCTAAACGTATTTTTGCAACAGAATATTGTCACCGAAAACTCGTGGTTAATTTATTAAAATTGTAGTTTATAATCTGAATTTAGTTTGCATTGCATTGGCTCCTCTTCAAAACTAAAGTGAAGCCTAACCGCTTAAATTTTTTGTTGGTTGGTACATAGGATGGTGAGGTGTAAGGGAAAGTTGATAGAAAAGGGCAAGCATCAGAGTGAGATTAAATTAATCATATAACCTGTAGCGATAGTTATCCAGAAAGTGGCAATGTCGAAAGCTGATGTCTAGAACCAAATGAAATTTTACAAACCAGTTTTAGAAGTCTGTTCCTCTAGAAGCTGGTGGGTTTGAAGGGCGTGGGAGTGAGAATTCTGAGAATTTAGATACAATGAATGGTAATGATTGCATTCACAGTGCATGCTGCATTACTTCAGTGTGTATCTATGGAAACTGCAGGCACATATGGCAATTTTTGTTTTTAAGTAATTCAGAACTCAGAAACATTTAAACTGATGGTCGGGTTCTAATTTCAAGAAAGGATAAAATCAAAAGCAGTCAGAGAAATTTTGAAATTGTAGGTCAGAGTCACAATTTAGGTAAAAATAAGCAGACTGGGTCAGGAAGGGCATAGAGCTTGACTATGGTTATGAGGTATTTAGTGACACATAACATCGGAAAAATATGGCAACATATTTGAATGTATGAAAATTTTGTACCAGATGTGTTTTTTTTAATTATTCACTCATGGATGTTGCTATCTGGCCAGCAGTTACCCTTGAGAAGGTGGTGGTGAGCTGCCACCTTGAACCACTGCAGTCCATGTTCATATACTCACATATGCCATCAGGGAGTTCCTGCATTTTCCAGCACTGTAACAGTGAAGGAGCAGCAATATATTCCCAAGTCAGGGTAGTAAGGGAGTTGGAGGGCATCTTGCAGGTGGTGGTGTTCCCATGTATCTGTTGCCCTTCTTCTAGAGGAAGTGGTCATGGGTTTGGAAGATGCTGTTTAAGGATCTTTGCCAAAGTGATCAAGATTGGGAACTAAATATTTCGGGATGCTTTACCTCTAGAAAACATTTGCCAAAATTTAAAAACAAGGATGGCATAAAGACAATGGAGAGAAAGGAAAATCAAATTGTCGAATCAGTTTGACTGGAGCTAAGGAAGAACAAGAAGGAGATGACAATGATGGGAGTAGTTTATTAAGTAGTTAGTGTTGTCTAGAATATAAATCAGAAAATTAGAGATGCAGATAGCAGGGACAACAGAGTTATTGTGGGTGCTTTAATTTTCACATGGACATCAGCACATTTGATATAGTCATATGGCAGGTGAGTTCCTGTAATGCGTTCAAAATAGTTTTCTAGATCGTGTGTCAAGAAACCAACGAGGGATCAGGCTATTTTAAATCTAACATTGTGCAGTGAGACAGAATTAATTAATAACGGTGTAGTGAGGGAACCTCTAGGGAAAGAAGTGACCATAATGTTCGAATCTTGTATTACCTTTCAGAGCTATGTGCTTAATCCAAAGCTAGAATCATAAATCTGAACAAGTATTGTATGTTTAAGGAATCAGTTAACGTGGTAAATTGGGAAATGTGATTAAAAGATAGGACAGTTCATAAACAACAACCAGAGGGTTGCCATTGACTGGAAACTGAACAGGGCTAGCTACATAAATACTGCGGCTACAAGACCAGGTCAGAGGCTAAGGATCATGAAACGAGTAACTCGCATTTGACACTCCAAAATATGTCCACAAGGACAAATAGGCACAAGTTAGGAATGCAAAGAAGTGCTCACCATTTGCATGGATGCCGACAGGTCCAGCAACACTCAAGAAACTTGAAATCATTCAGAACAAAGCAGCCCACTTGATTGGCACCACAGCCACAAATATGCATTTCCTCCATCACTGCAGATGGACATGAACAGCAGTGTGTGCCGTCTACAATATGCATTGTAGAAATTCACCAAGGCTCCTTAGACAGCACCTTCCGAACCCACACTCACTCCCAACTAGAAGGGCAAAGGCAACCTTTTGAAAAGACAAACTGCAAGTTCTTCTCCAAGCGTTTTACCACCGACACTTGGTAGTATAATGATGTACCTTCACTGTCTCTGGGTCAGAATCCTGGAACATCCTTGCTAATGACATTGTGACGTAGCTACAGTGTAGTGTTTCAAGAAGACAATTCACCACCACCTTTTCAAAATCAATGAGGGGTGGGCAATAAATAGTGACTCAGCCAGCAAAGCTCACATCCCTGATTGAAAAAAAAGTTGCAAAAGTTAAAAGAATGGTTCAAAATACACGGAGAATACATTCTCTTAAAAAAAATGGCTAAAGAGAAGTTAAAGGTAGCAATAGATTAAAGGAAGAGGCATCTAATATTGCAAAAGACTACTAAGTCTGGGCTGTAGGGAATTTTAGAATTTAGCAATGAATGACCAAAAAGATGATGATAAAGAGAAAATAGGATCTGTTGCTTAAACAGCTATACTTTAAAAAAAATGTTTGTGTAGGCATATCAAAAGGCAAAAGGTTTGCGATTGTAAATGAGGAATCATTGTAAGCAAGTGAAATTATAATAGGTAATATGAAAAATGACAGAGACGTGGAATAAATATTTAGTGTCTGCCTTAATGGCAGAAGATAGAAAGCATTCTGAGACTGTGGCAAACCAAGTTGCAGACTGGAAGATCCTTCTAAGAACTGAAGGCTAGCTACTATTAGTATATATTGCATTGACTCCCTGCTAGCTGCATGAGGCAACCAGCAACGTATCGACCTGTAGCCCAACACTACAATCAGTTAAATGAGGTGGCAGCATCAAACCTATCTCTATGTCAACATGCATCAGCCGTTCACAAATCATGATCCCTGTGTCAACAAACAGCATGAACCAATTTGTAGCCAGAAAGATATATATGTCCAATACATAGCATGATACTGATTTCTTTAATTCTGTCACATGGGTATAAGTGACTAAAAACCTGTGGAAAAGCAGGATATGCAGGCAAAACTCAGCATCTGTGGAGAGAGAAACAGAGTTCATGTTTTGAGTCTTCTGATATGAGCCCAATACGAACTGAAGGAAGCTGGAACATTGTTTTTGTGCTGTTGACAATAGTGGAACGAGACGTGAGTGAAACAGAACGTGAGGATACCCAGACTAAAAGACATATGGAGTGCTGATGATAGTAAAAGAGACATTAAAATGAATAAAAAATATGTTAATAGGGAGAGGGGATAATCTCCAAGAAAGGACACCACCTAATTTTCCGTGTAGGCACTTTGTAGTCTTCAAGATTCACCATTAAGTGCACAAACTTCAGAGCATGAACGCTGTCCTTCACATTGATTACATTTCCTCTGATTAGAGCCTTTAAAACTATTCTATTTTAATACACACATTCAAGAATGACAAATTTCAAAGGGAGCCACAATTTATGTGAGAGAAAAGGGCTCTGGCTGGTTGACAAATTGACATGGTGAATGCACCAGGAATCTATTGTCCCAAGTAGTTTTGTTTAATTAAAAAAAAACCACAATGCCTGGACAAATTCCTTTTCCTGCGTAGGAATATACATAGCTTCTAGTAAGCATCAGTGAGCTACAATCAGAACCAACTCAAGTACTGTATTAGAGTTTCTATATCATTTGTAGCTTTCCTTAGAGGCTGATAGGCAGTTACTTAAATTGCTTGGTAGCTGTCATTTACACCAATAGCATTTCTCAGTGCTCAGACAGAGACAGTTACAACAGAGATCTTCTGTGGATGATGAGGAGGATGAAAAGCTGTCAAACGAGAACATTATGTAATCCACTGTGGATCTGGAGGAACACAGCAGGTCAGGCAGCATCAGAAGACCAGGAAAGTTGATGTTTCGGGTTCACACCCTTCAGCAGGACTGTACCAGAAACCTATTGTACATAATGTATGTTACTGTTTAGAACAGCAGTCATTGCTGCTTTTTTCTACTAGAAAAGATAGGCGTAATTACTGTCATGTAATATGTTAAAGGCTAAGTCACAGTTAAGTGTTATTCTGCCATCTTCTGAACTTAAGAAGGAACATGCAAGAGCACATGAATAAAGCCGAGAAGTCAAAATAAAGCAAAGATCATTATATAATTCCTGCGCATGCTATGAATCAACTAGATATTGAATTGGGTTTCTAGGAAGCAGGTGTGCACTTAAATTCTGCTACATCAGTGAAAAAATCAAAACTTAAGAAAACCCATGAAAAGTAATATAGCTATGATATCAGTCATTTCGGACAGTGCTACGTTTGATAACTCATGTCAATGTTTGGATATTTATTAACATCAAATTTGCAGCAAGCCCCTATTCTAATTATTTTATGTGCTGTCTTGTTCAATAAAAGTATCACTTGTGGATGCAGTTCCACCAAGTCATGATTTTGTGTCAGCTGCATATCCAAAAATAACATAGTCCAAAGCCCAAATCTCTTTCCTATGATGTGCAAGATATTTCAAATGACTTATCTTTGTGTGGTTTTGTTGACATTCCAGTTTCGTTTGTTCATTTTAAAAATGTGCTGGTACCCTCCCTTTCCTTCCTAGGATGGCACAGTGTTTGATGGCAGGCCAATTGAGTCATTGTCTCTAATAGACGCTGTGATGCCCGATGTTGTACAGAGTCGACAGCAAGCGTTCAGAGATAAACTAGCACAACAGCAGCAAGCAGCAGCTGCATCTTCAGCTCCACAGCAGCCAACGCCAAAGAATGGAGAAGCCACTATTAATGGGGAGGAAAATGGGGCACACACCATTACAAGTAAGCATTGCATCATATTGCTTTTTCATCTACAGCACATCCAATATTGAAACTGAGATGTAATATTTCCGTATATAACAGCTAGGAATCATATTTTAACAACCTTAAAAACTGAATATTAAAAATTTTAGCAAATTTAGACAACCAGAAACTGATGTTTTTTTTCAAAGTTAAACTTGTAGAATTGATTCCTTTTGATTTTGGTTTTAAGTAGTATTTATATTTTAGATTAAAAACACATCCTTATGCATTTGTTTGTGCCCACTTGCTAATTACATAATAGTGATAATATGTTCTGTTGATATTTAGGAAGTTTTCTTATCTGTACTTCTCAAAAAAATGGGCAAATATGAATCACATTACAAAATGTTAGCGTGTCATCAATATGTTACCTCCCTGGCCAGCAGTCTGTTCCTTCCAGATGAGTAATCAGTTCGACATCTGCTTATATTTATGCCCACCAGGTGCTCTGGTTTCCTCCCACAGTCCAACAATGTTCAGTTTAGGTGGATTAGCCACATTAAATTGCCCCGTAGTGTCCAGGGATGTGCAGGGTGGGTGAGTTAACATGGTGAATGCGGATTACAGGGACAGGGTGGGTGGTGTGTCTGGGTGGAATGTTCTTTGAAGGGTTGGTGCAGACTGGATGGACTAAGTAGGCTGTTTCTGCACTGTGAGTATTCTATGATCCTATATCTACACAACCCACAAAAGTATCCACAATGTTTAAATGACAGATGAAATATTTCATGTACAGTGTAATCACTTTAAACAATTCAACTTGACACTCATCTTGCTTTTAAAATTCTAAGTTCAGAAATATTACTTAATTCTATACATTTCATATAAGGAAAAACATTTTATGCAGGACCTAGTTAAGGCCTGGAAGGTACTGCCTGAGAATGCGGTGGAAGCAGACTCCATCATGGCTTTCAAAAGGAATTTGGATGACCACCTGAAGATGGAAACTTTGCAGGATTTTGGTTAGAGTGGCTGGGGTAGTGTCACAGGAGTAATTGAGCTGCTTATGTTTAGACAGACATAATGAGTCATGTGGCTCTTCCTGTGTTCATAACTATTGTGATTCTACTGCACGTAATACTGTTCTATTAATGTGTAGATAGATTTGGAAAGAGATTGACTTTAATTGGCAAGAAAACAAGACTTATACAGCACGGAAACAAACCCTTCGGGCCAACACATCCATGCCAACCAGGTTTCCCAAACCAAATTAGTCCCATTTGCCTGCATTTGGCCTATATCCCTTTAAATCTTTCCTATTCATGTACCTGTCCAAATACCATACGGACATACAGTTTGGAAACAGACCCTTCAGTCCAACTAGTTCACGCAGACTATGTTCCCAAAATAAACTAGTCCCACCTGCCTGCATTTGGCCCATATTCCTCCAAACCTTTCCTATTCATGTATTTACCCAAATGTCTTATAAATGTAACTGTACCTGCATCCACCACTTCCTCTGGCAGTTCATTCCACACACTAACCGTTCTCTTGTTTTTAAGAAAAAAAGACGCCCCTCATGTCCTTTTTAAATCTTTCACCTCTCACCTTAAAAATATGCCCCCAAGTTTTGACATCCCCCACCTTTGGGAAAAGACCTTTGGTATTTACTAATCCATGCCTCTCATGATTTCATAAACCTCTATCAGCTCACCTCTCAACCACCTATGCTCCAGGGATGAAAGTCACAACTTATGTAGCCTCTCGTGATATCTCAAACCCTCCAGCCCCAGTGACATCCTTGTAAATCTTTTCGGCACTCTTTCCAATTTAATAACATCCTTCCTATAGAAGGCGACCAGTACTACACACAGTACTCCAAGAGTGGTCTCACCAATGTCCTGTACACCTGCACATGACGTCCCAACTCCAGTACTAATGCTCTAACCAATGAAGGCAAGCATGCCAAATACCTTCTTCACCAACCTATCTACCTGTGACACCACTTTCAAGGAACTATGTACCTGAACTCCTAAGTCTCTCTGTTCGACAATATTCCCCAGGGTCATACCATTAACTGTGTAAACTCTGCCCTGGTTTGTCTTACCAAAATGCAACACCTCACATTTATCTAAATTAAACTTCATCTGCCATTCCTTGGCCCATTGGGTCAGCTTATTAAGATCCCATCGTACTCTTAGATGACCTTCTTCACTGTCCATTATACCACCAATTTTGATGTCATTCACAAACTTACTAAAAATAATGCCTACATTCTCATCCAAACATTTATTAAAAATGACAAATAATAGCAGATCCAGCACAGATCCCTGTGGAATATCACTGGTCACAGGGCTCCAGTTGGAAAAACAACCCTCCACCACCACTATGGTCTTCTACCATCAAGTCAATTTGGTATCCTGTTGACTAGCTCTCCCTGGATCCCATGTGCCCTAACCTTACTAACCAGGCTACTATGCAAAAGCTTGTCAAAGGCCTTGCGAAAGTCCAAGTAGACAATGTCTACCACTCTGCCCTCATCTATCTTCTTGATTGTATCCTTAAAAATTCAATCAAGTTTGTCAGACACTTATTTTCCACACACAGAACCATGTTATCTATCCCCAATTATTCCTTGCCTCTCCAAATGCATATTAATCCTGTCTTTCAGAATCTCCTCCAACAACTTACCCACCACTGACGTCAGACACACTGGTGTATAGTTCACCGGCTTTTCCTTGCAGCCTTTCTTAAACAAAGGCACAACAATAGCCACCTTCCAGGCTTCTGGCACCTCACCCGTGGCTGTAGATGATACAAGTATCTCTGCTAGGGGCCCCGCAATTTCTTCCCTAGCTTCCCACAATGTTCTGGGATACAGTTGATCAGATCCTGGGGATTTATCTACTTTTATGCATTTTAAGATCTCCAGCAATATGGACTGTTTTCAAGACATTATTATTTATTTTACCAAGTTCCCTAGTTTCCATGTCTTTCTCAACAGTAAATAGTGGGATGAAATATTCGTTTCGCATCTCTGCCATCTCCTGTGGTTCCACACATGGACTGTGTTGTCGATCTTTAAGGGACCTGTTCTCTGTATGGTTGCTCTTTTGCCCTTAATGTACTTATAGAATCTCTTTATCTCTCCTAAAGTGTTGATTTGTTTCCAAGGTTCAGCTTCACGAGACCAGATGTCAGCTACTATCCCAGCTATCAATGTGAAGCTGGACAGAGACAGTTGGCAGGTCATTCAACCAAAGGGACATCAAGACCATTTGCAGTTACAGAATGATGGGGTTGGTTGAGGGGGGTATGTCAGTGGATTGGAATAACCAAAAGCAAGCTTTCCTTTTTTTGAGGTTGGTTGGCTCGCCGAGCTGGTTTGTTGTTCCACAGAGGTTTCGTTACCGTGCTTGGTAACATCCTCAGTGCAGCCTCTGATGAAGCGTCGGTGGGTTTTCCCGCCTGGCTTTTAAACTCTGGGGTCCGTTGCGATGGATTGCCTCATTTCCGGGTTTCCTCCGTAGTGGAATGTATATGGGATCGAGTTCAATGTGTTTATTTATAGCCTGCTTCGTGGAGTGCCATGCTTCTAGGAATTCTCATGCTTGTCTCTGCCTAGCCTGTCCCAGGATCTTGGTGTTGTCCCAGTCGAAGTCGTGGTTCTCCTTGTCCATGTGGATTGAGACGAGTGAGTATTGGTCGTGCCTTTTTGTAGCCAGTTGGTGTTCATGTACTCTTGTTGTTAGTTTCCTTCCTGTTTGTCCGATGTAGTGTTTCTCGCAGTCCCTGCAGGGGATCTTGTAGATGACATTGGTCCTGTCCATGGCGGGGAGTGGGTCTTTAGTTCGGATGAGCACTTGTCGTAGGGTTGATGTGGGCTTGTGTGCCACTCTGATCCCCAGCGGTCGTAGAAGTCTTGTGGTGAGTTCTGACGTGTTCCTGATGTAGGGTAGTGTGATGAGTGTGTCGGGGCGTGTAGAATCTTTCTGATGCTGTTCCTGTAGGCATCTCCTGACCCAGTTCTTTGGATATCCATTATCCTTGAACACCTGGAAGAGGTATTCCTCCTCCTCTTGGCGTAGTTCCGTGTTGCTGCACTGTGTTGTTGCCCTTTTAAATAGTGTTCGCACGCAGCTTTGTTTGTGTGTGCTGGGATGGTTACTATTGAAGTTCAATACCTGGTCTGTGTGTGTGGCTTTTCGGTGTGCTTTCGTTTGCAGTTCCCCATTTGTCTTGCGCTCTACCATGACGTCCAGGAATGGGAGTTGTTTGTTCTTCTCCTCCTCTCTAGTGAATTTTATTCCGGTGAGGGTGTTGTTTATGAGTTTGTGTGTCTCTTCTAATTTGGTCCGTTTAATGATGACAAAGGTGTCGTCTACATAGCGTATCCATAGTTTAGGTTGGATTTGCAGAAGGGCAGTCCTTTCCAGTCTTTGCATCACTGCTTCTGCTATGAGTCCGGAGATAGGCGATCCCATGGGTGTCCCGATGATTTGCTCGTATGTTTGGCCGTTGAAGGTGAAGTGGGTGGTCAGGCATAGGTCCAGTAGTTTAAGCATGTTGTCCTTGGAGATGGTTTCACTGGGGTCGTGTTCTTGTTCAAGTAGTGTTGTCATTGTTTCCCTTGCCGTACGGCCTCCCTAAAGTGCACAAACCGGAAGTCCCCTCAGACCCACAGTCTCCCTACCAGGCACTCCATCGCACAGATTAGCCAGAGAACTACGAAGAAGACTCAAGCACCTAGTCAACAAATCACCCCACTCCATCCACTCAGCCCAAGAATTCCTCAACTCCATCAAAGACATAAAGATAGAGGACGAAGAGACCATGATATCGTTTGATGTCACCGCCCTATTCACGTCAATAGACATACCACTAGCAAGGGAAACAACGACAACACTATTTGAACAAGAACACGACCCCAGTGAAACCATCTCCAAGGACAACATGCTTAAACTACTGGACCTATGCCTGACCACCCACTTCACCTTCAACGGCCAAACATACGAGCAAATCATCGGGACACCCATGGGATCGCCTATCTCCGGACTCATAGCAGAAGCAGTGATGCAAAGACTGGAAAGGACTGCCCTTCTGCAAATCCAACCTAAACTATGGATACGCTATGTAGACGACACCTTTGTCATCATTAAACGGACCAAATTAGAAGAGACACACAAACTCATAAACAACACGCTCACCGGAATAAAATTCACTGGAGAGGAGGAGAAGAACAAACAACTCCCATTCCTGGACGTCATGGTAGAGCGCAAGACAAATGGGGAACTGCAAACGAAAGCACACCGAAAAGCCACACACACAGACCAGGTATTGAACTTCAATAGTAACCATCCCAGCACACACAAACAAAGCTGCGTGCGAACACTATTTAAAAGGGCAACAACACAGTGCAGCAACACGGAACTACGCCAAGAGGAGGAGGAATACCTCTTCCAGGTGTTCAAGGATAATGGATATCCAAAGAACTGGGTCAGGAGATGCCTACAGGAACAGCATCAGAAAGATTCTACACGCCCCGACACACTCATCACACTACCCTACATCAGGAACACGTCAGAACTCGCCACAAGACTTCTACGACCGCTGGGGATCAGAGTGGCACACAAGCCCACATCAACCCTACGACAAGTGCTCATCCGAACTAAAGACCCACTCCCCGCCATGGACAGGACCAATGTCATCTACAAGATCCCCTGCAGGGACTGCGAGAAATGCTACATTGGACAAACAGGAAGGAAACTAACAACAAGAGTACATGAACACCAACTGGCTACAAAAAGGCACGACCAATACTCACTCGTCTCAATCCACATGGACAAGGAGAACCACGACTTCGACTGGGACAACACCAAGATCCTGGGACAGGCTAGGCAGAGACAAGCATGAGAATTCCTAGAAGCATGGCACTCCACGAAGCAGACTATAAATAAACACATTGAACTCGATCCCATATACATTCCACTACGGAGGAAACCCGGAAGTGAGGCAATCCATCGCAACGGACCCCAGAGTTTAAAAGCCAGGCGGGAAAACCCACCGACGCTTCATCAGAGGCTGCACTGAGGATGTTACCAAGCGCGGTAACGAAACGTCTGCGGAACAACAAACCAGCTCAGCGAGCCAACCAACTTCAACACCCACAACCCGAGCTACTGATCTACTCCAAAACCTTTCCTTTTCCTAGCATGTTGATTCTAAGTCTAATTCTAGTGCCTCTACTTTATTTCAGTTGTGTTTGGGTGGCTCAACATATGTAGCCTCCTCGATGGTTAGACCTTCACGATTCACCTGCTCACTGGATAGATACTCTGAGCCTTAGCAAGGGACAATATTGAAATGGAAATTTTTAAACTGCATCTCAAATAAAAGAATAATACAACACAGCATACCTTTTCCTGTGACTAAAATTATAAGCTTTATTGTGACTGGGTGTTTTATAAGTAAAGTGATTTTATATTAATTTAATGTAATTTCTTATAACTGAAAAATTAAATGATACTTTGCAGATAATCATTCTGATGCTATGGAAATAGATGGAGATGTTGAAATTCCTTCAAACAAATCCACAGTCTTAAGAGGTCATGAATCTGAAGTATTCATTTGTGCCTGGAACCCAGTCAGTGATCTTTTGGCATCAGGGTAGGTACCAGTTAAAACAAGCTAAGTACTAAAAGTAAAAATACATTATCTCTGTTGTTTTGGCATCAGTTATACGGTTGTATTACTCTTGCACCTTTACCACATCGTGTTAAACCATTTCATGCTGGTTAGCAGTGTGCAAGTATGGAGGCAGATCCCTTTAATAGATTTTCATGCCTCCACTGAGGGTCAGTATATAATAATTCTGTAATGAAGCAAAACCAATGATCCAAATTGCATAAATGGTCTCTCAATCATTTTTCACTTGACATGTGGAACACCTGGAGAACGAATGGCAGTTTGTAATTGCATGGCCCCTGTCATATGTAGCAATCTAGCAAACAGGATGACTGTGGGATGGAAGCAATAGTATGAAATTTAAAAGCCTCAAAATTTATAAACTGAATTTAGAATCATCCAATAAAGTGGTAAAACATGCTGGCTTAGATATTTGACAGTGTGTAGAAGATACATGTACGGATCTAGCATGGTAGGAGGTGAGCCTGAATTCTGTGCTGAAAGTGCCTTATCTGCCATTTTGAATCAGGCTTCTTACGAGCTTTCAGAAAATGTACCAAAGTAATTAGAAACACTAACCAAATTTAAGAAAGGGTCCTATGTTGATGCAAAGACCCCTTTGTGAAATTCTTCCACCCTAAAACCTGACTCAGCGTGCATTAAACCTGCCCAACAAATCATGATGGTATCGGGTAGTAAGAACTCTGCAAAGAATGCTATTCAAGAGGTTAATCAGTCCCAGACAAGGGTAGTTACTGGTTTGTTCTCATTGGTTGTTGGTTAAATTCTAGGCCCCATTTTGTAGGAGGATGTTGGTGAGGTGGGTGGGGGGGCCCTGGTTCATGAAGGTTTCCGAGTTCCTCTCCTAGTAGTAACTTGATTCTTATTTTTGCTACCAGCTTTTTCTGGTTGTCACTGCTTTTGTCTTTATTGAAACATGTTTTCTTCCAGTCGTGGTAGTCTCCTAGGTTTGCTTTGGTGATTGAGAGCAAGGGAAGCCATAAAGAAACCAGAAAAGAGCAGGAGCAGCTGGGTGGAAAGGATATAGATCAATATGTAGAAGACTAAGTACTTAGAAACATGCTTGCTGAGAGCAGTTATTACCCCAACTTCACCAAGAAGTTTCCTAATAAAGCAACTGTCAATTGCTGCAGCCACAGCTGGAGCCTTAACCTGTTTTGGACAACACTGTCTATAAGCCCTAAAGTAACAAACTCAAGATTCCTTCAATAATATTTTCCAAACTGACATCTACCACCTAGGAGAACAAGAACAGTGGATATATGAGAGCACCAGGACCCAGAAGTTCCAACCAAATCACATAACATTCCATTTACTATCACTGGCCCAAAATCCTGGAACTCCATCCCTAACAGCACTGTGGATATCCCTACATCCAATTGACTGCAGTCAACTGCGGAAGAAACTCACTGCCAACTTCTGTAGAGCAATTAGGGGTGGGCAATAACAGCGATGCCCACATTCCATAAATTTTTTTAAAAAGGGCTTTGAAATTGTTGCTTTGATGCTTTAGGCATCTATCAGGATGCAGCAAGTGTCATCAAGCAGTTTACTGTCAGCTGGATCCTCTCTCCCAGGAGGAACACCTATATCACTTTCCCAAAGCAGGATGAGAGTGCATGGCTCCTCTCACATTGCATAGACCAAAATGCTGGACATTGAGGTCAAGGTTGCCTTCGGTGCTTTCCATTATCATGCTGGCATCTTTTTGAAAAGAAACAGTTTCTACTTCTTCAATATTCAATTTACTTATAATTATAGGAAGCACACAATATAGGTGAGTTCAGAGGACTAACGGCAATAATTTTTCATTGGTCCTGTGCCTGTCTCTGTTGATGTCTTTATTCCAGCTAAACCATCAGGGCAGCAGGAGTGTTGTAATGCTGGAAACCCCAGTCAGCATTGGCAGTTGGAAGTTGGAAGGTGGAAGCCACCTATGTTCCAGAGTGCTAATTTGAGCTGCCATGCAGCCTATTCCAACTGTCAGCACAGTGTCAACCTCTGTCAGATCATTGGGCCTTTAGAAGAAGGAAAAGAAAAGGAGGATTGTGCTGTGAAGAAATCCTGAGTGATATCTCAGTTAACAAAGAACTCACCAAGGTTGTAATACCTCTTATTCACCCACCTGCAACATACCCGCCAAAGTCATCTTCCAGAGTGGAAGGGGCATGCAAAAGAGCATAGTCACCCACTGCATGTTGAGTGCAACTTTTCTCTGCAAGACAAGAGTTACTGACAGCTTTGGAGGTTGTAAGGTGCTTGTAGAAGACTGAGGTATAGGGAAGTAGCCATTGCAATAATTTAGAGTGTTAGAGGGCGGCATGGTGGCTCAGTGGTTAGCACTGCTGCCTCACAGCACCAGGGACCCAAGTTATATTCCAGCCTCAGATGACTGTCTGTGTGGAGTTTGCACATTCTTTCCGTGTCTGCATGGGTTTCTGCCAAGTGCTCCGGTTTCATCCCTCTGTCCAAAGATGTGCCGGCTAGGTGGATTGGCCATGCTAAATTGCCCATAGTGTTCGGGGATGTGTAGGTTAGGTGGGTTAGAGGGAGATGGGTCTGGGTGGGATGCTCTGAGAGTCATGTGTGGACTTGTTGGGCCGAAGGGCCTGTTTCCACACTGTAGGGAGTCTGTCATTTCTCGTTCGTACAGGTGCAACTAAGGAGGAGAGAAAAGAATGAGGTGTGCAGGTAGTATGTAGTGATTGTAGGAAGGTGAGGAAGGGCAGTAATATGAGTACTGTGGCTGCAGGTATACAGTCAGAAGTGAGTCCTCAACATAGTCTCATCGCTTCAGGTTAAACATGAGCAAGTAAAAATCCTACTGATTACCACTTACCGTCCTCCTTCTGCTGAAGAATGAATACTACTCCATGTTGAACAACACTTGGAAGAAGCACTGAGGGTGGCAAGGGCACAGAATGTACTCTGGGTGGAGGGTCTCAGTGTCCTCCACCAAGAGTGACTTGGCAGGAGCCCTACTGAATGAGCTGGTTAGATCTTAAAGGACATCGCTGCTAGACTGGGTTTGCGGCATTTGGTGAGAGAAACAGGAGGAGAAAAAACATACTTGACCTCATCCTTACCAGTCTGCTGGCCGCAGATGCATCCGTCCATGGTAGTATCAGTAAGAGTGACCACCGCACAGTTGTGGAAACAAAGTTCCACCTTCACATTGAGAATACCCTCCATCATGTTATACAGTCAAAGTCATTCAGCATGGAAACTGGCCCTTTGGTCCGACTCACCATGCCAAACCGTGTTTCCATTTGCCTGTGTTTGGTCAATATCCCTCTAAACTTTTTCTATTCATGTAACTGTTGAAATGCCTTTTAAATGTTGTAACTGTACCTGCATCTACTACTTCTGGCAGTTCATTCCACCTACAAACCACCATCTGTGTGAAAAATTGAGTGGCACTATCACCATGCTAAATGGACAGGCTTCGAACAGATCTAACAGTTCAAGGCTGGGCATCCATTATGTGCTGTGGGCCGTCAACAGCTGCAGAATTTTATTCCACCACAATCTACAACCTCATGGCCTAGCGTATCCCTCACTAACCATTACCATCAAGCAAGGGAATTAGCCCTGGTTCAATGAAGAGTGCAAGAGGGCACGCCAGAAGCAACACCAGGCATTCCTAAAAACAAAGTGTCAGTCTGGTGAAGCTACCAAACAGGACTGTTTTCATGCCAACAACATAAGCAGTAAGTGATAGAGCTAAGTGATCCCAAAATCAACACATCAGCTCTAAGCTCTGCAGTCCTGCCACATCCAGTCCAGAATGGTGGTGGACAATTAAACAACTCACTAGAGAAGGAAGCTCCACAAATATCCCCATCATGAATGATGGAAAAGACCAACACATCATTACAAGAGATAAGGAGGAAGCATTTGCAGCAATCTTCAGCCAAAAGTGCCGAGTGGAAGATCCATCTCAATCTCCTCCATTGATCCCCATCATCACAGATACCAGTCTTCAGCCAATTCGATTCACTTCATGTGATATTGAGAAATAGTTGGAGACACTGGATACTGCAGAGCTATGGGCCCTGACAACATTCTGGCAATAGTACTGAAGACTTGTGCTCCAGGGCTTGCCACTCCCCCAACCAGGCTCTTTCAGTACAGCTACAACACTGGCATCTGCCTGACAACATGAAAATTTAACTCGGTATGTCCTGTACACAAAAAGTGGGTTAAATCTAACCCAGCCAATTACTGCCCAATCAGTCTACTTTTGATTATCAGTAAAGTGATTAAAGGTGTCATCAATGCTGCAATCAATCAGCACCTGCTCAGTGACAACCAACTGGGTTCCACCAGGGCCATTCAGCTCCTGACCGCATTACAGCTTTGGTTCAAACATGGACAAAAGAGCGGAATTCCAGAGGCCAGGTAAGAGCAACAGCTCTTAACATCAAGGCTGCATTCGATAGAGTGTGGTATCAAAGAACCCACGCAAAGCTGGAATTGGTGAGTAACAGTGGGCAAACTCTCCATGGGTTGATTTCATACCTGGCCTATAGGAGATGGTTGTGGTTGTTGGAGGTCAGTCATCTCAACTCTAGGGCATCTTTGCATGAGTTCCTCAGGGTCCTAGGCCCAAATATTTTCAGCTACTTTATCAATGACCTGCCCTCTATCATAAGGTTAGAAGTGGGGATGCTCACCGACGATTGTACAATGTTCAGGACCATTCATGACTCCTCAGATACTGAAGCAATCCATGTTCAAATGCAACAAGATCTGAACAGTATCTGGGCTTGGGCTGACAATTGACAAGTAACATTCCCACCACACAAATGCCAGGCAATGATCATTTCCAATAAGAGACAATCTAGCCACCACCCCTTAATATTCAATGGTATTACCATCACTGAATCTCCCACCATCAACATCCTTAGGTTTACCATTGACCAGAAACTCAACTGGGCTCACCGCATAAACACAGTAGCTGAAAGAGCAGGTCAGAAGCCAGGAATACTGCAGCAAGTAACTCGCCTCCTCAATTCCCAAAGCCTGTCCTCCACCTACAAGGCACAAGTCAGGAGTGTGATGGAATATTCCCCAGTAGCCTGGATTGGTGCAGTTCCAAAAAAAATCAAGAAGCTTGACACCATCCAAGACAAAGTAGCCTGCTTGATTGGCCCCAAATGCACACCCTCCACCATCAATGCAGAGTAACAGCAGTGTGTACTACATATAAGATGCACTGCAGAAATTCACCAAACATCCTTAGACAGCACCTCCCAAACCCACAACCTCATCCATCTAGAAGGACAAGGGCAGCCGATAGATGGGAACATCACCACCTGCAAGTACTCCTCCAAGCCACTCACCATCCTAACTTGGAAATATGTCACAGTTCCTTCACTGTTCCTAGGTCAGAATCATGGAATTCCCTCCCTAAGAGCATTGTGGGTCAATCTACAACATATGGACTGCAGTGATTCAAGAAGGCAGCTCACCACGACTCAAGGGCAACAAGACACAGACAATAATTGCTGGCTAGCCAGTGACGCCCATGAGTGGCATTAACATACTCAGTGACCTCTTGCCACAGGTGGCAATGGTTGGTTGGAGAGCCTTATGTTTGTATGATACCAAAATAGTCTCATTTCTATCATTCCATCCCCTCCCCACCATGAAGCACGTGTGCAGCCATTAATAAATACTGGCTGTATGCCTCACTCATTATAATGTGTAATGACACATATGTCAAACCTTTTATCTTGCACTCATCAGGACAGTTCACAAGAATTGCCTATTTAAAGTGAAACAACACTTGTCTGTATCAGTTGGAAAGTAGTTTCTTGATTGGTAGATCCATTGCTATAGAGGACACCGGTTAATGATGATTGACCATTAATTGCCAAGCTTTGTTTAAATTTTAAAATATGCAAGTTGACTGTGTTAATCAAGGCTTTGGCCTGAGAATTTATTTAGAGAATAGCTGTCACTTATTTCATTGAGTTGAATCAGGCACAAGTGTAGGTTGTTTCTATGTGCAGAAAATAGGGCCTTGTGTATTAACATATCTGGCTTATAGTATTAAAAAAGTGTGCGATACTGCAAAGTCAACCGACAATTCTAAATTGGTTGTCAGCATCATTCTTCAGACACTTGAGATTATTTAGCAACTGCTACCCCTTCACAATGGTAGATCTTGTAAATTGTCCTAATGATTGCAAGATGAAAGGTTTTGACGAAATGTCTTTATTTCAGAAATACTCGCGTTTTGTACAATAGTATGACTAATCACTATATCTTCTCTTAATGACTTTCAAATTGCTTAAGTATCCAGATAAACACCATCTCCTCACACTGCCCTGTGTACCCAATTTAAACAGGACAGACTTTTAAGATCACTTATTTTGAGCAAATTTTGTAAATCACTGATATCTGCATTTTCAAAACTGTTTATGTTGCTATAATAGATCAAATGAAGAAAATGAAGTGAAATGCTGAGTTTGAATACAGTAGATTCACTTCTATGGAATACAAGGAGGATAATTGTTTTTTTAACCATACACTTTAATTCATGTTGTTATCAATGCATAAAACACTCAAAAATAATTGAATTTATTTGTGAAATTAATAATTTCAGTGGCAAACAAAGATGTTACACAAAGAAAGTATGACATTATAATTTTCATTTGTGTTAACATTTTTAAATGGGTAGAAGTCTAAATATGGAAACAAGTCGTTAAATATATTGTCAAGTTAATTTGATAGTATTGTTATATGTGACTAAAAATCTCGATCATGCAAATATTTTTTTAATCTAAGTTGTTGGAAATAATGCTGCTGGCTTATTGCATAAAAATGAAATAAGCCATTAATTGGAACTTTCAGAGATAAAAACCCCAAAGCTATTTGTTGTACTATATAAACACAGCAGATAAACAGGAAGTTAATGTTTAAACCAATGAAAAATCTCAAGCAGAAATATTAGCTCTATAATTTCAAACCTGGAATAATTAGGAAAGGTTTTTGGTAAAATAAAATTAATCATCATTTTGTGGTCAATGTTGAATAATTATATAATTTTTCTGCAGATTATGCCCACTTGTCTCACCGCTACAAGGTGACCAAGATTGGGAGCACTAAATTTGTCATCAACTACTTATGGCAGCACCTTGCCATCTAGCGGTGTGCGCAGCATTTAGCTGTAGAGCTTGTTGTTTCCCCATCTCAAACACTGCGAGACTTCAGCATTCATATGCAAGTCGTCACTGCTTGAAAAATGCCAAATCCCCAAATTAGAAACAGTTATTATAGAAAGGGTGTGGGAGAAATTTTAACAAGTGTCTTTTTACATTTATAGTTCTGGAGACTCAACTGCAAGAATATGGAACCTCAATGAAAACAGCAACAGTGGCCCCACTCAATTAGTACTTAGGCATTGCATCAGAGAAGGCGGGCAAGATGTTCCTAGCAATAAAGATGTTACATCACTTGACTGGAACGTAAGTTGCTATGGTTGTAAAACCAATTAGTTACCCTTTTGTGACTCCTTCTAATGGAAACCTATTAATCATTAACTCAGTCTTTAATTTTCAGAAGTATACACCTTACCCTCATTAGGAATCTGATATAATGCTCTCACATAAATAGCCTTTGTAGGTTAATGATTATAACATAATGCACGGTGTGATTTTGTATTATTTTGGGATGAAAAGGACCATTTGCAGTACAGGGTAAAAAAAACCATCACACAGTGTGGAGTACAGCATTCATGTAATGCCCCATGTGGTGAAAACTTAATGACCAGTCACTTTCGAACACTGTAACTCGTGTAAATTTGGCTCACTGAGGTGGATCCCTTACTAGTGGGTCTGCCAATTATGAACTACAAAATTTTTTTATGCAATTAAATTCTCATTGGTTTATTTTTAAACTTACAGATTAATCTTAAAGTCAGCAGTTACTTTTTCATACCTTTAGGATTTGTTTTCAATGCTTAAGTATTAAAGTGATTTCCCACTCAAACGTTGTAAAATCCGTGGCTGTCAGTAATGGGGCAATTAACATCAGGGGTGCTGAAAAGACGAGTGTTGGAGGACCATGGATAACTTGGAGGGTTGTAGGAAATTACAAGTGTAGGAAGAGGCAAGGGAATGGAGGGAATTTGAAAACCGTGCAGAAAATTTTAAACCAAGGTGCGGAAATGAATTTTGAACCAGCATGCAAAAATAATAACAGCTATGCATATTTTAATCCCACAGTGATGAGTCAGACCAAACAGTTAACATGATGCACTAAGGCACACTTGCTATAATATGGTTTACTGTATTAAATGAATTTTCCCTGCTAAAGGTGAAATTCATGACTGACCTTAACTATTACTGTTATGAGTGTGCACACTATATAGTCCACACCTATTCCGCATAGCTGCAATTATGATGTAATCTGGCATATTTCCAGCACTAGACACTGCAGTGAAGATGCTAATGATATCCTTTGTATGGGACCAGTTAATGTGATGTGAATAGAGTTAGCAAGACTGCTGAATCAAATCTAAAATTAAAACAAATGCAAATTCTAACCCATTTCATAGGAGGTGTTAGGTAGGAGTCATTAGGGGAAATAGCACTTCACCTACGTAATGGGAAAATTTGACATTTTAGCATTAGTTTTCTGATAGAGATCGAGGAGTGAATACTTACTGTAAGGACACTATTGTGACTGGCCTCCTATTTCATTCATCTTAAAGGTATCCAATATTTGGTTTACCCTTGCGCAGCATTAACAATCAGGTTTTTTGCTACACTTTAATCAATACAAGATTTCCTACTCTACTTTATCCACACCAGGTCTCCTGCTCCAATTTATTACAGGATTAAAGGCAGACATAACATTGATAAGACTGGAATAGTGAGGTAGAAAGTTAGAGTGGGAAACGGAGAGCTAGCCACTTCCTGGAAGAAGCATATCCAGCAGCTTAACATCCTGCAGGAGAACCAAACTGGCTAACTGCAGAAGTTCAACATTTCTCCTTAATGAGGTGATTAAGGTGACCTTCACCCCCATTCTTCATGTATGCTTTCAGAAATGCACTGCCACTCAACTGTACACACCAGCTGTAGTTTGGCTTGGGCAATGTATTATCAGGGTCACTTGAGCTTTTAGCGAGATTGATTAACCATTTTTTTAATAAGTATTTTGGATGCACTGCCAATTCCAGTATATATCTGTCCTGTATATAATCAGGCGAGCGGGAATTTGATGGATTGGGCACCTGACCTATTGTACACGATGCTCGCCCGCGCTACCAAAAATGCACCCAGCCGGGCCATGTAATATCCAGCTCATTCTCTTCAGTTCCCACTAGAATTCCACAGTGGTTCCACACTGTCCCCAGTACAAGTTCTGAGATGAATTTAAAATCCTATATAATTTCCATTACTCAGACTGTCTGCAGTACTTCTACTTCATCCAATCTTGAGACATTAACAGTATTTTGTATTTTGCTGGCATGTTGAGTTCCACAGTATATAAACTCCAATTCATCCATATTCTGCAATATCTCTGCCCAATTTTGCGATTGTCTATCACTGTTCTCTCTGACTTGAATTGGCTTCTTGACACATTGAATTGAAAATATTTGTCATCTTTTACAGGTACCTCCATGATTTACATGGTCTCTGTCTGCAGCCTTCTCTACTCTTGCAGCTCTGGCCTCCTTTGTATCTCCCATTCCCTCTGCTGGCAGGGTCTCAGCTGTTTTGTTCAATCAACTAGAACATCCTCACTAAATCTCTCCTGTTTGCTTTTTCAAAAACATCCTTAAACTTATCTTTTTGATCATGCCTTCAGACTCTTCCCTTAATTTCTCCATTGTTGGCCAGTAACTGTTTTACATCTTGAGATTTGCTTTGCAGTATTCATTGTGTTAAAGGATCGTATTAAATGCAGGCTGTTTTCCTTGTTATAAGGATGAATTTAGTGTGTTAGTGATGGAAGATACTACCAGCACGATGTGTTTGTTTTCCAGAGTGATGGAACACTGTTGGCCACAGGATCATATGATGGATTTGCAAGAATATGGACGAAGGATGGTAGGTCATGAGTTTGAATATTTGACATTTTAACAATGTAGATTCCTATTGAATTTTCCAGTAAACTTATTTTTTTTTCAGGCAACCTTGCAAGCACCCTCGGACAACATAAAGGGCCCATCTTTGCTTTAAAATGGAACAAGAAGGGAAACTATATTCTCAGTGCAGGCGTTGATAAGGTATGAATGAAATGCAGTAACAGTTTGCAGAGAAGCAAATAATGGACCTTTCTGTTAGGTTAACTGATTTTCCCATCTTCTGAGGGTAAGATCCTCTATGATTGCCATCTAGTTATTTTCTATCCTGTGAAGACAAAAACTGCAACAATCAGGAGAACATAACTGGTTATTGATTGCTATTCTCATTTTTTCATCCGACTATCTTGCAGTCCATCATATTTTTTCTCTCAGACTAAAAATTTCATTCATTTCTTTTCAGACAACAATAATTTGGGATGCTCATACAGGCGAAGCTAAGCAACAATTTCCATTTCATTCAGGTAAAAAGATATGCTGCAATATACAACCTTGTAAGCTTTGAGAGCAGTGTACTGCAGGCAGGCAATTACAACGTTGTTATGTAAAATTACATAGAATCTATATAATTCTGTCAAAGGTGTGTCTCTGCCAGTTTACGAAACTCCTGGAAAATCGTGTCATCCACTCGGATTTAGGAAGAAAGAAAGTTGACCTTGCAGTGCTGTTTGTTTTGTGGAGTTGTCGGTCTGGATTTTTTATGGACCTCTGTCCATTTTCAGTTAATGAAGGAGGACTCTGAAAAGCATCCCACCCAGACCCAGCTCCTCACCCTAACTTCATAATCCCGCATTTACTATGGAAATTCATATGGCTTGCACATCCCTGGACACCACGGGCTGATTTACAATGGCCAATCCACCTAACCTGCACCTTTGGACTGTGGGAGGAAACCAGAGCACCTAGCAGAAACCGTATGGGCATGGGGAGAACATTGCAAACTCCACACAATTCTGTTGAGTAAAATCCAGCCCATGGTATTTAATTTCTTCAAATTGGTTTTTAATTAGATATACTTGGTACAGTGGATGGCATTCATTTTATCAGAGATCGCTTCATTTCAGATATAAGCACATAGACATTACTGACTGGTTTACCATTCCAAATTTGCAGTAATGATGATGAACCATGAGCTCTATAACTCACATGCTTGATTACCCAAGTTGGAAGAGTTTAATATGAGTGAGATGAGATTTAAGTGGTATAATCACTTCCTAATGTATTTAGTGTGTCCACAGTACCACTTTGAATAGTCAGTTTTTCATTTGACCTCCGTAATCGTCCTTGACAATATGCAAAATCTGAAGGCACATATTGAAAAACTTCGTGCTTTGCAGGATGTAACATCTTAAATTCAGCACTACGTGTTAATGTCATAGAAATGCTATCAGCTCTGCAAACATTGATTTTTTTTAAAACCACTAATTAATTTGAAAAGCTGATCGTTTTACTATATAAAATAATCATTGGCCTGTGTGCTCATCAAATTAAGGAATGTTGAATCAGTACCAACACCAAGCACAGTTTAAAAAAAAGTTTGATCAGAGCAAAATTCACTTTACTCTGTTCCGCCAATCTACGTTAACTTCTGAAGGACACAGTTGTGCACGATGCTGATCTTTTTCAACTCCCATTACTAACTATCTTTGAGTTGAATTGCTAACCTGTGTGACCATGACCCAAATTGTGTTCATTTCCTAAGGGAACTGGTTTTAGACTGTTCATGCTCATTTCATACTGAAACTTTTGGTTTCTTCAATATATATTGCATTTTATAATATGATATAATATTATTGGGTAATGCAGGTTCCCCTGGGTTCATGTGTGAAGGTCAATGTCTCACTCATTCCTTGCAAAACAATATTGAACCTAGTATTAAGTAAAATTTGAAAAATAAAGGGAAATTGTTGGCAAGTAAAGTTGGTCTGTGCCTGTATAGGGCAGCAAGCGATATACACAGAGAGTAAATTTAAAAATCAGTTTTTGGATGAACTCACCAGATGCAAACCTGGAAAGATGGAAGGTTACTGTTAGGATCAGTTGCTGTACTTGAGTTTGGAGTGCACAGTTCTTTAATAATAATAAATTTCAGGGTGTCTCTCTATTAGAAAATATTGCACTTATTTCACACACACACACAGAACATTTCAGATTGGTTTGATGTGATTCAGCAATACAAATTCCAAAATGTATTGCAACTCAAAATCTCAATTTGTGAACTTGTTTTAAAATCAATATAATTAAAAACATGTAGTTTATGAGCAAATATCTCCAGGGCTCTCATTTATCGTATTGTTAAGTGATTACATTTATGTGATCTCCATAATGATTCTTTTCTTTCAATTTTTTAGGATGGTTTATATAACTATCTGGTAGAAAAATTATGTTTTCATTCAAGTTACTTTTGTTAACTTACCCTTAGTTCAGCATAATCTTAATTCTGTTCATTTGGGAAAACTAATAGTTTACATTATCTTCAAAGAATAGCATGGGCAAAAAAAAAACTATAGCATGGTTAGGCCAGTGTCCCAGATATACTTTCCCTTTCCAATCAGTGGTTGTTGAACTCTTAAGAGTTCATTCTATATTCATACACAAATGATTTTTCTGGAAAGGCAAAAACTGCAGACTTCATATCATCTTTCTCGCATGTCTCAGAAATATCCTGAACAGCAGCACATTACAATGAGACAAGCCTGATCCCATCTATACTGAATGTCAATTTTAGTACTGTATTTTCAGTCTATATCAGGTGCTCAGAGCTAAAACCCTGATTACTACTCTTACACAGAACTCAACAAGACAGTTAAAGTACTCCAGTGCCTACATCAGCACAGATCAGAGTTGAACTTTGGGCTTCCAGGTGCCTCTAGTTCAACTGTAAATTGAACCTGTGTTTTCATCAACTGAACCTTTAGTGTTTGCAACTTGAAAGAAGCAATTTCCAGAGAATACAAATTTTTCAGTGATGTCTCAAAACAAGAAATTGGAAAAAATTTAAACCTAATTCTTGTGCGTTTTGAAGTTAAAAAGTATTTTAATCAACTAAATATTTGCAAGAATGTGCAGGAACTGTAATAGCATTTGGGCTGATTAAACAAGATGTCTGGTATTTTAAGTTTTCAGAATGTTCCATGGTATTAGATCATTCTTTTTTTTACAAAAAAATCCCACTTGGTAAAGGCAAATTGAAACACATGGTCCCAGAGCAAGTATAAGTGTTTCTGTTAGGTAATAAAATTATGCAAGATATGCTATCTGTCTGCCAGTGATCTTATTAAAAGTTCCAGTATAAGTATTGTACTTTAAGGGAGAATCGTCTACTTTGGTTGCTATAGTGTAATTCCCAAATATCCATTGCTACAGCATAATCAGCATTGCCATAACAGAGCAGCAGATCTCTCCCAATATACCATAATTGGCATTTAGCACCCGCCCCCATCCCACATTCCATCTGCCCTTTCCTTGAGATTATTCCATAGTTCAAGTAGATATTAAAGATACCAGCTCAGATTTTGTGACTTCAGTAGTGTGAACATTGAGAGGTTCGTTGCTGTTGAGGGATGCGATGGCCAAAATGACTCCTCGTGAACTCACATGCTGAAATCTGGAAGCTGTAGGGCACCTAATTGGGCTCTGGAAGAGTTCACACTGATGCTTCTACTGTTTGTATTCTTAAAGCTATACTGACAGTTCTCCTCAATGTTCTGTCCTTAAATAACATAATCAAAACTGGATTTAACTGTGCAATATTGCTGTTTGCAAACTGACAGATGCAATTGCTCATTGTCACTACATTTCAAAGTTGAATTAGCTGTTTGAAGCATTTCTTTGGATGTAATAAAGCTATTATAGACAAGCATTTCTTTAAAATAAAAGGTATTGTCCAGTTTCTTGTAACGGTACTACTAGATTTTCTGGTGGATACATGAGTTAGTTTTTGCATAGTTTTTTTTGTATGTGTATAATTGGCAGCTGAGTTTTACTTGTTAATTGTCAGAAGTTTGAAAAAAGTGAACCTTGTGTGATTGTATTCTAGACATTGTCAATTAACATTCCTAGAAATACACATTGGAGATTTCTGAACAAAGCACCAATAATGGAACTTACCTGTGTGTGATTTTTAACAAAAGATTTGCGGTAGATTAGGGAAGGTTTTTAAGCCTGCAGTGCAAATCAGGAACTGATGACTCATTTACAAATTGCAGAGCCACCTTTTAATGTGTTTCTCTTATATTTGCACTTATTGAGTTTTTAAAAATTATTTTTTGCTCATCCAGGTTAGACACTCTAGTTCTGGAAATGAAAACGTGTCAATACCTTTCAACTGCAGACTTATCAAGTGCTATAAAGTCTGATATAACAGAGTTCCCTTTACTTTTCACGAAAGGATGTCCACTTGAACAATGCCTTTACTTGCCATAGTCTATGATTTCATTTTCTGCACCAGCTATTTCTGACCTCTTTGAGTGCTTTTAATGAATTAGGGTCAATTTACTGTTATAAGCCTCTAACAATTAGGAACGAGGTTAAGGTTGCCCTAATTAATTTCACTTGATTTCATTTCACTTGCTAATAGCAAGTAGAGAGAGCATGCTTTCATCTTTTGGCTTGGTTGATATTGGAATCCTTTTGAAGAACTGAAAGTAAATTGCTAGCCTGTCTTTTCATCTGAAATCCAGCATGTCATGGCAATAGGAGTACATATAATAGAATCTCCAAAATATAATGGAATCTGCAAGAGCATTGCTGTCTTTTTCAAACTGTGGATCTGATCAGGTTTTTGAGTAGAAAGGAGAATTATCTTTGAGTTCTGAAGTTTATTTTGCACATTATGAAAAGTCACCTGAAACTTTAATAAGTCTTGTAATTTATATGTCCACATCATTTGACTATTATATTAATGCTGATATAAACAAGCACCAAGTGCTACTGAGGCCAGAAATTGGGAAAATAATGCAGTTGAATGCATGGCATGGTGTAGGAGGGAGGGCTTCAGATATCAGGATCACTGGGATCTCTTCCAGGGCAGGAGGGACCTGTACAAAAAGGATGGGTTACAGAGGACTGCATTTTAATGTGTTTCTCTTATATTTGCACTTATACTGAGTTTTTTAAAACTATTTTTTGCTCATTCAGGTTAGACACACTAGTTCTGGAAATGAAAACATGTCAATAGAGGAGCACCAATATCCTTGCAGGGAAGTTTGCTAGTGCCAGCCGGGAGGGTTTTAATTAGTGTGGCAAGGATGTGGGAACCAATATAATAGGTCAGCACAGCAGGAGTGATTGAGGAGAAAGTAGAGGTGAAGTCAAATAAGCCACATAGGAAGAAAAGGCAGGTCAGGTTAATGAACATGGTGGGACTAGTGGCCTGAAGTGTGTTTATTTTAATGCAAGGACTATAACAGGTAAGGCAGATGAGCTTAGAGCCTGAATTGCTACATGGAATTAAGATGTTGTAGCTAGTATAGAAACTTGATTGAGAGAAGGATAGAACTGGCAGCTCAACGTTCCAGGATTTAGGTATAAGAGACATGATAGCGAGGGATGTAAAAGGGGTGGGGAAGTTGCATTACTGATTCAGCAAAATGTCACAGCTGTACCAAGAGAGGACATCTTGGAGGACTCATCTACTGAGGTCATATAGATAGAACTCAGGAACAAAACGATGTAGTCAGTCTGATGGGATTATGTTATAGGCCTCCCAACAGCAAGCGGAAGATATAGGAACAGATATGTAGACAAATCATGGGAAATGTAAAAACAATAGAGTTGTTGTAGTGTGCGATTCTAATTTACCAAATATTAACTAAGACTCATTTATTGCAAGGGGCTTAGATGTGGCAGAATTTGTTAGGTTCTTCCAGGAGGGCTTCTTGAAACAATATGTAGATCGTCCAACCAGGAAAGGGCCACATTTTATTGGGGAATGAGCTTGGCTAGGTGATCAAAGTTTCTGGTGGAGCATTTTGGAAACAGGGATCATAATTTTGTAAATTTTAATATAATTTATGGATAAGGATAAGACTGGTCCTCGGATGAAAGTACTAAATTGGGAGAATGCTAATTACAATGGTATTAAGCAGGAACTAAAGAAACTAGATTAGGGATGGCTGTTTGAGAGTAAATCCACAACTGACATATGGGAGTCTTTTAAAAGCCAGTTGATAGAGTTCGAACCAGAATGTTCCTGTGAGGACGAAAGATAAGGATGGCAAAATTCGAGAACCCTGGATGACAAGTGATATTGAAAATTTAGTCAAAAGGAAAAATGAAGCATATGTAAGGTTTAGGAAAGTGAAATCACCCAAGGCTCTTAAGGAATATAATGGAAGCAAAAAAGAACTTAAACAAGGAATTAGAAGGGCTAATAGAGGCCATGAAATGTCCTTGGCAAGTAGGATTAAGGAGAATCCCAAGTCATTATATATGGTAGTGTAGGTCCACTCAAGGATAAACTGGGAATTTATGCATGCAGTCAGAGGAAGTGAGAAGAAATACCTCTTGAGTACTTTGCTTTGGTATTCATCAAGGAGAAGGACATGGATGATGGTAAGATTAGGGAGGGTTTTATTGATATCCTAGGGCATATTCCAAGATACTAAAGAGGAGGCAGTGGTGGGTGTCTTGAAAAACATTAAAGTAGATAAGTCCCCAGGGCCTGATGGGATCTATCCTAGGGTACTGAAGGAGGTAAGGGAGAAGATTGCTGGGGCATTGACAGAGATCTTTGTATCCTCTTTAGCCACAGGTGAGGTCCCAGAAAACTGGAGAATAGTCAGTGTTGTTCCTTTGTTTAAGAACGACAGCAAGATAATCCAAGAAATTATAAGATGGTGGGCCTTACATCAGTGGTAGGGAAATTGTCGGAGAAGATTCATAGAGACAGGATTTACTTGCAATTGGAAAAGAATGGACTTATTGGGGATAGTCAGCATGGTTTTGTGCAGGGGAGGTCTAATCTCACAAAGTTGACTGATTTATTTGAAGAAGTGACAAAGATGATTGAGAGTAGTGCAATGGATGGGTCTACATGGACTTTACAAAAGCATTTGACAAGGTCTGTCATGATGGGCAGGTCCAGAAGATTAACTCCCATGGGATCCTCTGAGAGTTGGTAAGTCGGATACAAAATTGACTTGGTCATGGAAAATTGATTGTTGAGGGTTGTTTTTCTTACTGGAGTTCTGACCAGTGGTGTTCCACAAGGATCAATGCTGTGACCTCTGTTGTTTGCAATAGATGTAAATGATTTGGATGAACATGTTGGTGGAGTTATGGATAGCAAAGAAGGTTGCCGAAGGATATAGTTAGATAGAAAGTTGGGCAGGGAATTGGAAGATGGAGTTTAATTCGGACAAGTGTGAGGTGATCATTTTGGGAGGTCAAATGCAGGTGGAAAATATACAATAAATGACAGCTGCCTTAGGAGCATTGATATACAGAGAGATCTTGGGGTGCAAGTCCATAGCTCCCTGAAAGTAACGATACAAATGAATAAAGTGGTAAAGAAGATGAAAGGCATGTTTGCCTTCATCAGTTGGGACACTGGGTATAAAAGCTGGCAAGTGGTGTGTTTCAGCTCTATAAAACTTTAGGTTACATTTGGAATATTGTGCGAATTCTGGTCACCACCATAGGAAGGATGTGGAGGCTTTGGAGAGGGTACAAAAGAGATTTGCCAGGAAATTGCCGAGTTTGAAGTGTATTAGCCACAAGGAGAGGTTGGACGAACTTGGATTGTTTTTGCCAAAGAGAAGAAGGCTGAGGGGCAACCAGATAAAAGTATATAAAATTATAAGAGGCATGGATAGGGTAGCTAGTTGGCGTGAAAATGTCTAATGCTAGGGGATATAGGTTTAAGGTGAAAGGGGAAAAGTTTAAAGGATGTAGGTGAGGCTTTTTTCTCCCCACAGAGGATTATAGGTGTCTGGAGCATGCCACCAGGAGAGATGTTAGAAGCAAATACGACAGCAGTGTTTAAGAGGAGTTTAGACAGACACTTGAACAGATAGGGATTAGAGGGAAATGGACCATATGCAGGTAGATGGGATTAGTTTAGAATGGCATCATGGTCAATGCAGACAAGGTAGACCGAAGGATCTGATCCTGTGCTGTACTGTTGCAAGTTCTAATGCATTTTCAGTAAAGTAAATAGAAAACATTAACTTTTAAGTTAGGACTTTTTGAGTTTTTTTGTTTGCTATTTGTAAATCTATGGTTATGAAATCTTTTTGGGTCTATAGTCTTCATTCATTTTCACTACGTGTTTTAGGATCACCAAAATCATATTCCAAGCAGGCATTGGCAAATTGGAGCCAGGGCTTGGCTAAGCAGGTTTTTGCCTCTCCATTGATACATTGCAGTGTCTGCAGAGATAGAACCAGCAGGAAAATGTCACCTGTTAAAATTTCTACCAGTTTGGTGTTATTTGCTCTCGACTGCAGTATGTGCCTGCGTGCAGGTGACACTGTTTCCTGTCAGGTTCTGAACCTGACAAAATTGGGGACCAAAAGTCGGTGTAATAAATTGATGTAGGAAGAGCAGGTATTTTAAAATGCAAAGCCAAAAGAACTGTAAATGCTGGAAATCAGAAACAAAAACAGAAATTGCTGAAAAAACTCAGCAGGTCAGCCAGCATCTGTGGAGAGAAATCAGAGTTAATGTTTCGGATCCAGTGACCCTTCTTCAGAACACAAGTTCACACTGTTCTGTGTTTAAAATACAGCCTTTTCAACGTTTTAAAAAAAGTACTTACCCATGACAGAGTGTTATGAATATCAAAAGAACTTTCAGACAATTGGATTCATCCATTTATGATCACAATAAATCACAGATCTTCTAACATGAAAAAATTCATTACAATAATAAAAAAGAAATGCAGAGTACTGCAGATGGTGAATGTCTGAAATACAAACAGAAGCTGTGGTAAAGAAATACAACAGGACAAATCAGCATTTTGGAGAAAGAAACAGAATTGTCAAGGTTGATATTAAACGCACCCCCACTATGGGCCCAAAGGGCTGGGGAAGATTTTCAGAAAGGTTTAAATTACAAAATGTTGCTGTTTAAGCGTCTGCTGCCATTTATTTGTTCTCAGTTTAGGTAGTGTGCTTCCATTCCACTCTTGAGGCAGGACGCTTTACTGTTATATTTAAATCACGCTTCCACAGTGCAGCTGGGAGCCTGTTTTAAGTTTAGTACTGAGGGGCTGGGTTTCCCAGCACTCAAGACTCCTGGCAGTAAAATGGAGGCAGGAACAACCAATGTAGCAGGTAAGTGCATTTTACAGAATCACGTGAATACCAGAAGGAAAAAATGATATCCCCAGCCTCTCAAGCAAACTGTCTTTTCCTTGCTGCCTCTCTGCCACCCCCAGAGTTCTTCCTCCCCAATCTTTTCTTCCCAATTGTTGTTCTAATCGATCCCTTTACTCCAATCTATCCCAATTTCCAAGAATTGTCCAAATGGTCCTGGCAGTGGCTTCCTGCTGCCAGCTTTCAACTGGCTAATCCATCAATTTGGACAGGACCCAGAATGAAGAATTGATTTTCAAGAACTCTGCATTTCTCAGCTTTTGGTTTAGTTTGCACCTCTAACTGCATATCGTTGACCCTTACTTAGTTTGTTTGCCTAAGGAACTTCTTTCTGAAACTCAGACATGCTCCACCTGCTTCTTCCACACCAACCCTGTCACTCCTTTTTTCTGACTCAGCTTCCATTTTTGTCTGATTATTCTCCTGTTGGGGATGTTTACTTGTATTAAGGTTGCTTTGCAATTACAGGTTGTTGTTTCTATAACAGAAGATCAATATGTAGTGTCAATCCCAAGTGTAGTTAGCAGCTTAGAAATAGACCACACTGATTTTGTTTTGTGATATTGATTGTGGTTTTTCTGTGTTTAGACTTCCTTGCTTATGTGTAGTTTGCTATTTCACAGCTCCTGCCTTGGATGTGGATTGGCAGAATAACACTACGTTTGCATCCTGCAGTACAGACATGTGCATCCATGTGTGCAGGCTTGGCTGTGATCGTCCAGTCAAAACATTCCAAGGGCATACAGTAAGTTCCAGTTTGAGTGAGCATGAAAGGCATTTTTATGCAATGCCAAAGTTATGTAGCTGTAAAAATATTCTATCTTGTAATTTGTTAGCATTGGATTATTCTATACAGGAAGCATCTGTCTGAAGGAATATTTCTGACTTTATCTGTTGCTATGTGTTGGAAAAGATTTGTGTTAACGTGGACATGCATCCCTGTGACAGGACATTAAGTAAATATGTCAAGCGTGATCGTAGTTAATGAACCTTCCATCACCTGGAAGTAACTTGTATCATTAAACAACTTTCGGAATTCAAAGAAAAGTTATAGCTAATCAGTGTATTGTCATATATGCATTTGATTTCATGCATTTTTGGTGTGTATGCATTGGGAGGGGAGATGTGTATGAAAGACTAAAGGATTGTCTTATGACATAAGTTTGAGGGAAAGCAATGCCACATATTGTTTAATTGAGTTAAGATGCCTTCTCATCCTTCATGTTCTGAACAGAGGTGATTTATGATAGCTTAATCATTTAGCTGTTGAAACTTACCATGCTGTTGTTAACAGTACAATGGACACAGACTGTGCCCCCTCCATCCCCCAGCCACTAACACTGTGATGGATATAATTTGCTACTTTTCAACATGGGATAAAATTTATGCCGTGCCTGCTCCTGGCAGGTGCAGGGAACTCATATTATGAAGTTATGAATTCCTGGCCTAAGATGTCTGAATTTTTAACAAGTGTAAAATCACAGATTAGGGACCTGCAATTTTCTGCCATGCACTCATTGTGTACCCAGAATAAGCAGAACAGTCTTGACTGCCATTCTGTTGTGGTTTTGGCATGAGAGAATGCATCTATATGGTGACTTAACTTTTGACTGAACTCTCAAAGCTAGGACTTGTGTGCAATGTTGACAACCCTGTTATTTTATTCTGATAGTGCAGCAAATTGCTATTAAAAAGCAGGTAAATCTGAATATTAGGCAGTTCTGGGATCTTGAAACTTTTGAGGGTGTCACTGTTGTTGCAACCTTGTATTGGAAAATCATGGTTAACAATGAGATTCACCTACATTTAATTGACCATTCTGCCAAACTATTGCTTGCACCTTCAGTCCTCTGAACTGTTAACAATTGATGACATTTTTTTCTGTGGCTGGATTTGAACCTTGGATGTACAAAACATAATTGGAAGTTGTGGTGTAAACTAAAAACAAATGAGAAAGAACAAATTAAACAAAAAAAGTGAGGAGTGATAAACAACAAAAAATACAGTGGTACACACTAATACCACACTATACCACTCTCATGAATTGAAGTCCAGGATCTTGGACAACCCTAGCCAATCAGTAGTACTTCTTCACTACACAATAAGTGCTCATGAGGAAGTATCAATGTCTAGGGCAAATGGAAAGAAAAATTGAAAAATAGTCTTGAAAAAATATTAAGCAAAGAAAAGAAATCACTCAAAATCAGAAATAAAGAGGGGGGACAAATGATTCCAACAGTGAGAAGAAAGTTCAAGGAATATTCCCCCAAAAGATTGTGAGGCTGCAGCCAAAGTTCATGTAGTGATTTTGCAGATGACATGATCGCAAAGTGCCATCTTCAGGAGAATGCCGAAATAACAGATTGTTTACTGTTTATATCCAGCAAAGCTCATTTGCACTTCTTTTACTTTCCAGAATGAAGTAAATGCAATCAAATGGGACCCATCTGGCATGCTGCTCGCGTCTTGTTCAGATGACATGACACTGAAGGTAGGGAAACCTAATTGTCATTCAGCTCCCTTTGTTGACTGTGGTGATATATCCTTCCATCAGCTATGATGTGCTAAACAGCTAAAGGCTTCACGCTATTTCACTGAAGAACAACTGTGTAATAAGACATCTTACCAGATATGCTTTCTTTAAGTCCAATAATCCTTTTTTTTGTTTGAAAATTCACTCACCTGATACATGAAGGGACTGATCTTTATGCCTTCTCTGTATCAAATGATCTATAAATAAGGACAGTTTGACTGAATTGAATTCTCCTGTCAGAAATTTCATTTATGGGATGGAAAAGGTTAATTAATGTCATAGTGATGTGGATTCTAAGACATGCTTTTACCTTGGCTATCTCACTATTTGTCATTTCAGTATCTATGAAAATTGCACAATCCCTACACTTCCCAGCAGCACCTCAATTTTTCAACGCTTTTTAATTAGTGTTTGAATCTGAAATGTCTATACTTCCTGCTTTTTGAGTAAACATTTAAACTTAAGATTTATTTAAACAAAATATGGACCATAGTGAGAAACTCAAGACTTTTGTAATGGTCAAAGGAACTCCAATACAGGCTAAATTGACAATATCTGTACCAATATGTAAACTTTTAGCTTTATGATTTTAATCCCATGTTAAAGAGAATCTTACAAATTAAAATGTTTTTTGAGTATATTTTCGAAAGTATGTGGCATTGGTAGTTTATTTTTATCTGGGGATGGCTGGGTAGTATGTGGGTCAGATTAATGCCAACAGCATGGGATTCAATCTCTATTCTGGCTGTGGCAGACTGTGTCTACTAACACACCCTACCCTTAAAAATAAACAGTGCATTTAGCTGTGATTTTGTGAGTATTCACTGAAGACCTTTCTTCAAGCAGAGAACTCGATATATAATATCTAACACCTGATTAAATTCATCATGGATTTGGCTTACATTATTGTGCACTGAGAAGATGTTACATGATTATTTGTTCTGAGATGTCAAAGGACAACTAGCTCACTATTGCCACAAATTCCAGCCATTGCTACTTGGCAGGCCTGGAATGGAGTTATGGGATAAAGTGATAGCTGTTCGGCTATGTGGCAAGCCTATCGGTGGATAATCGTTCCACCTGTGTGGTGGAGTACAATGGCCTTTTATTCAATAGTTATTAGCAGATTATGCACGCTCAGTATGCTTGACAAGTGAATGGTAATCCCTGATAGGATCACACATTCCAACTACTCTGCCTCAGTGTAGTACTATAGCAGTTATTTTATGAGAACAGTGAGTTATAGTGTGAAATAGCCAGCCTTAGGATGATTGACTTGACTTCTGCCCTGTACTCTAATCAGTTCCCTTTCTACAAAGGCATACAATAAACTGATTAATATCTTGCAGCCACGTATAATTGGGGTAACAACAAGACAATGCATGCGTATTATATATAATGAGTTTAAATTTAAACATTTCAGACACAGGATGAATCGCATTGTCTTTATTAATAATTAATTGCAGAAAGAATTAAATGATAAATAGTAATCATATCATTTAACATTCCTCGTCCAATTCAATTTTGATAATGCATTAAAATCCTTAGAATGATATGGATTGCATCTTCCATGTGCAATCGACCTTCGAATTTATCTTGAATTTATTTTCCACGTAAACGATGCGTGACATTTTCAACAATTTTAAAACTTACAGTTGGTAGTCACAGATCACTATACTATTTGCATTTCTTCCTGAAGATATGGAATATGAAGCAGGACAGTTGCGTACATGATTTACAAGCCCATAATAAGGAAATCTACACTATAAAATGGAGTCCTACTGGTCCAGGTACCAACAACCCAAACTCTTACATCATGTTAGCCAGGTAAGATTAACATTTTTTTCCAGTACTTTACACATGCATTTGGTAAAATAAATCAGATAGCTGAAAATCAGAAAAAGAAATGTTTAGTAAAATTAGTGCATTTATGAGGCTGATGTCAAACTTATATACAATGCACAAGGTCATGAAGTTTTTATTAACCATCCACTCTCATGCACCTCCGGCAGTAACAGGATATTAAGCTGTAATTTCATTTTGAATGAAAAGGGTTCCATCTTGCTTTGGCAACACCAGCCAAGACAGCACTCAGTTGGAACTTCTCATTTGACTTGTGAGGCAACACTTCTGGTGAAACATTTTGCAGTCTAGATTATACACAATATCAGCCTAACTATTTATAAAACATGGCAGGACCCAGACCTGCTGAGGCTCCACCAGCATGACAGAAAATAGTTGCCTCACCAATCCTGCCAGATTTGCCCATGCTAAGCTGCATCATGCAATTGGTGGCTGAGAGCAACCATTACTTCCATTGTAGCCTTAAACGGGAGATCAGAGTTCAAAAGAAAATTACCAGTTGAATCCAGATGGATTATTCACTGTTGTAACAGTATCCATACATTATGGGATGAAACATTTGAGCCAGATTTTCACTAATGTGGTGGATCTTTCAAGTTTCCCAACTTGGCAGACCCTCCTCGGTATTAAGTGTCTGTTTACCTTGCTATTTTCACTGCACGGTGCAGGGTTATGAAGACGATAAATTATTGAGGGGTAATTTTCACCTTCATTTCCATTGAAACTCAAATAGAAATGAAATTTGCCAAGTTCTACAAAGCTTGGGCCCTCTGTTTTTTCACTGAGTATTAAGGTTCCTGTTTTGAATTTTTTTTTTAAAAGTGCTCAGCAAATCACTAATAGAAAGCTTCTATCATTGAAAGGCACTCGTGCCCATTGGGGCACTTCCTTTCCCTCCCCAAAGAAGACAGGATCCCACACCTCCACCACACCCCCCACCCCACCGCCCGCCCCCAGCTCCTTTCCCACTCTCACATTCTTTAAAAGCCCCAGACATGCCTGGAACTAGGATCCATGGATCCTCCTGCAGTTCTGACAGCACCCATTATGGACCTTTGGTGCTGCTGAAACTGTTGGAACAGCCAGCCAGTTTGATCAGTGAGCACCTCTCAAGGTGGAATATCTTCTCATTGAGGGTGTAGCCTATCCTCAGCACTTCATGGACTGTCGGACAGGCTTCTAATTGACCAGTCAACTGGTCACCAACTTTACTTCCAGGGTTTTTTTTTTAGCGGAGGAGTAGTGGTCTGGCACACTGTCTGCACATTCGTAATAATTGACAATGAAATATGCTTGGCATGAAGAAAGGTAAAGTGCAAAAACCTAAGGGTATGTCAACAGTTAGGAAAATTAGAAATGAATTAATGCAAAGAATAAAAACTATTCTGTTTTTAGCTTAAAGTCTAAACATAATTTCTCAGTGCTTTATGGTTAGTTTCTGAAGTAGGTCTTTACCCAATAAGAGCTGGAATGATAGTACCACAGTGCGTGGTAATTGGTGCTAGATGTGAAATGAGGTCTACCATGATATGGCAGTGCTAACCCACCACTAAGTTGACTGTTAAATATGCAGTGAAAATACTAATCCGCTGTTGTAGTTTTTTTTTAATTACCTAGCCGTTATCTAAACAGTATTTATTTAGCATTTCAAATAATTCCCTTTTTGTCAGTGGCCTGAAAGTCCTCTGATACTCCGCTAGTGGCTCTGCTGGATGTGTGAGTCAAAATAGCAAGTATTAATGGGCTATTCAATCATCTCATCTAAACTCAACCTCATTCTTGCTAGACATGCATGTGGCACATGCACTTTCACTCATTCACTAATTGGTAATAAGGCCTGAAGCCCGAGCCTACTTTCCTTTCTATAGTCCAGGTCTATGCCTGCTGCAGATCTTTGACAATGAGCAGTGTCGAAAAAACCGCCATTACAGTGAAAATGTGTTTGACTGTGCACACTTTCTTCTTTACGTTGATAACCTGATGGCTTGAGGCCACATGTGGTCATTATTTACTTGCAGTCCAGTCAAGATTAATTTTAGTTCTGAAGAAGGGTCCCGATCCAAAATGTTGACTTTCCTGCTCCTCTGATGCTGCCTGACCTGCTGTGTTCCTCCAGCTCGACATTGTGTTGTCTCTTACTCCAGCATTTGCAGTTCTTGGTATCTTCAAGATTAATTTTATCCTTTATTTCACAGTGCTTCATTTGATTCTACTGTTCGCCTTTGGGATGTGGAAAGAGGAGTTTGCCTTCACACCTTAACCATGCACCAAGAACCTGTATACAGTGTCGCTTTCAGCCCTGATGGCAAATATCTAGCCAGTGGGTCTTTTGACAAATGTGTCCACATATGGAACACTCAGGTAAGGGAGACATTACAATATGTGATATTTACTACCATCAGATTTTCAAAATCATTAAGCTGTTTTAGAATAACAGTTTTAATGAAAGGAAATACTTTTTTAGCTATGTGTCCATTAGTAATAAAAGGCAGCCTTTTAGTTTCTGAAATATCAATGGGCAGTACCACCTCACTTTTAAATAAATTATTTGTAATGGAAAAGAAAAAAAATTGCTAAACACTTATGAAGAAAACCATGGCTGTAGCAAAAAGGAAAATGGAGTACTCTGGTGAAAAGTAGTGAGAATTACAATTGAGGTGAAAGTGGCACATGTCAGACAGCCAATGATATTCAGTAATGTGGGCAATCAAAATATGTCAGTTTGAAAAGCATGCATCTAAAATGTTTTCTCTTTATTTTAACAAATCAATGTGTTTGTTTTCAGACGGGAGCTCTAGTGCACAGCTACAGAGGTACTGGGGGTATTTTTGAAGTTTGCTGGAATGCATCAGGGGACAAAGTGGGAGCAAGTGCATCAGATGGTTCTGTAAGCATTTATACTGTTCAATTTCAATTCTGTCCCCATCCCCCTGCCTACAGATGGCTGAAAAGTTTTGTGTCAGTCAGTTAATCCTGCACACAGCTCACAAATACCAAACACATGCGTTGTTTCAACATATGTGTGAGGTTGCTGCAAAAGCACATTGCCCATATAAAATTACATTTCTTAAAAAATGATATTCAATTAAACCGCACAATCACAAAATAATTCTAGATGTGGAAGACAAGCTGACTCATTTTAAGTCATCCGTCCAGCTTATCAGTTATTGAAATGGAATATTTGCTTTTAGGATTGAATAGCAACGTTCAAACAAAAATGGACAAAGGGATGTAGAAACAGGACTGACACATCAGACTAAGAGCACTGTTCGTCTCAAGGCTTACAGTTTGTTTGCATGTCAGCATTGTAGAGAAAATGGATGTTCCAAACCAAAAATTATACTCCAACACCCCAACCCTGTCTCACAGTTCAGCATTTGTCCTTAAATAATTCTCAGGTTTTCACCTTAACTCCTCTATAAAGGAATCCACTTCCACATGCCTTGCTCTCTTTTTGAGTGGAGAGGGAGTTCCTTATGTTAGACCTACGTTTTCTTTGTTATTAGTTTGATCATGGAACTACTTGTCTTAATTTGATTTCATGTTATTTTCCTGATTTATTTTTTCCGCTCTTACATTCTTGAGTCCAACGATAAAAAGCCCTGGCTTCTTTCCTATTCATCCAAAGGATGTGGTGTTGTTGGCTAGGTAACAAGGTGTAGAGCTGGATGAACACAGCAGGCCAGGCAGCATCAGAGGAGCAGGAAAGCTGACGTTTTTTACAATTAGCAGCTGTCACATGTTCACCTTTAGGATAGCTTTTAATTCCAGATTTTATTGAATTCAAAATTAATCTGTTATAGTGGGATTTAAACCTCGTCCTCAAAACAATACACTGGGTTCTATTTTAATGAATGAACATTAGTTACATCTCATTGATGAGCTGCAAATGCTGATTCAGCACTCGCAAGATGATTGGAGAAGGTGGGAAAACTGGCAGCTCATCTGTAAAGTCAAGCTAGATATTGGAGCATAAAGAAAATGGAAGAACTGAACAGGCAGGGTATGACCATAGAACAACTTGCATCAGGTGGGAAAATCTCCCAAGCAAACAAAAGTCATTTTTGCTAAATCTGACATTTCTTATGGATGGTCTGGAGCAACCACAATAAGGTTAGACCTCACTACAGCTCGTCACACCCAACGAGCTGCAAGGACTCCATCCCATTCTCCCAGTTTCTTCTCTTATGTCACATCTATTCAGATGTTGCCACCTTCGAAAACAGCGCTGCTAGCATGGCTTGCTTCTTCTATGACCATGGTTTCCCATCCACTGTGGTTGACAGGGCCCTCAACCACACCTGACCTATCATCAGTGCTTCCTCCCTTGCCCCTTCCCAGCACTCTCAATAGTATGATCAGGTTCCCCTTGTCCTTACTTTTCATCCCACCAGCCTCCACATTCAAAGGATCATTCTTCACCATTTCAGACAACTCCAGCAGAACGCCACCACCAAACACATCTTCCCCTCAATCCCCCATCTGCATTTTGCAGGGATCACTCGCTGTCGGACACCCTCGTTCATTCCACGACTACCAACACCAACCCCCTCCCCACGGCACCTTCCCATGTGACCGCAGAAGGTGCAATACCTGCCTCTTCACTCCTCCCTGCTCACCGTCCAAGGGCCTAAAGCAGCATTTCACCTGTACCTCCTCTAATCTTGTGTATTGTATTTGGTGCATCTAATGTGGCCTACTCTGCATTGGAGAAACCAAATGCAGACTGGGTGACCGCATTGCTGAACACCTCCAGTTTGTGCGCAAGCAGAACCGCAACCTTCCTCTAGCTGGTCATTTTAACACAGCGTCCTGCACACGTTTGCCCTCGGTATGCTGCAGTGTTCTAGTGAATCACAGTGCAAACAAGAGGAAGAACACCTTCTCTTCAGATTAGGCACTTTATAGCCTTCTGGACTTAATATTGAGTTCAACACCTATTTCTTCCCTTTCCTTTAGCTTTACTTGTTACCTTCTCCCATTTCT